ACCGGGCTCGGGGCGTCTCCTCCTCAGCCGCGGCACCGCGCAGGGGCTCTGGGCACCTTTTGTCTTCGAGATAATGTGAATTTGCTCCCTGCGCCCGTCAGAAGCGGTTCGTGCTGTAGGAACACCGGGGGCTGCTGCCGCTGAGGTCAGCCCCCTCAGCAGAGCCTTGCCTCGGCTGCAGACCCAAGCCTGAGGGGGCACGCGGAAGGGCAAGGCACGCGGCTCAGGAATGCATGTTCCTAAATTGTCAGGAAAAAAATAATTGCTTTTTCAATGCCCGGAGCTTCTTCCCTCACCTTTGAGAAAGCTTGCTATGCTGCAAACCCCATTTTTAAGGTTTTCTGATCTGTATTCTCTGCCCAACCCATTATGCCTTCCCCATGAAGAAAAACAGCCAGTTACCAGTTAGACGCGGACTGGGTGCGAAACTCCCCAAAGGCAGAGGCAGCAAACGGTGCCGGGCAGGGCAGCCACGTGGAACGCCTTACAATAAGCCGGATGGGCCCCAACCTGCCTCTGTGCAACTGCTGCATTATCATTTCACATGCACCAAGGAAAGGTTCCTACTACTGCTCTGATCGTTTCCCTTGCAGACCTTTACAACTCTCACAACATCATACACAGTGCTGGCACACAACTGCTGTGGAATGGTAGTTCCTACTCAAGTATCCCTAAGGAGTGTTTTCCCCTGCCTAATGCTTTGTAACAGAATTTGGTTTCAAGGTCTCCACAGCTCAAAAAATACTTAAAAAACCCTTCTGGGATAAAACATCATTGTCCATAATCTAAAAGTAAGCATTTCTGTAACTAGAAGAGAAGGTGAGAGCTTACAAAAGCCAGGAGGAATGGTGATTGTTCAGCACCTCCAAAGAGGTTGGTTTTATTTACACATACATATTTGTACATCCTAGCATTCAGTCATGCAATTCCCTGGAACATACACCTTTATAGAAACCCCTCCAGAGAGATCAAGCTACCTGTCCTTTAGAATCTGGGGTTAAAAAAAAATCTTTATAGATTGAAAAATTGTGAATCACGGTCTTCAGATACCCGCTTCTCTTAAAGCACAAAACTGTGAGGTCACGACAGGTGTCGAGAGCAGGGCACAGCTCCCAGTTTATAGGAATCATGCAGAAGAGCCCAAGCCCATAGCCTTCTGCGATCGCCCACTCCTGCAGCCAAACAGCAGGGTCCAAGACATAGTACAGGGGAGCTGAGAACTTTTGCTGTAAATCAGTACTGAAGGTACTGTCTGCTCCAATAACAAGGGGAAAAACTTATGTTAAGGGAAGAGTGGAGCTGGAACAAGCTAGGAGCGTAGTAAAACTGTATGTATAACTTTCCCAAGCAAACTGCTGATGAAGACACAGTGGTTTGCAGCAAGACAGGCAGACTTCATGGGTCAGACGTAACTCCAGCCCTGGTGGATGAGCTCAGGCCACACGGGAGCAACCTGGGCATCTGTGCTCCCGGACCAAAGCTCAGGTGCAGCAGAACAGGACTGGCCAGGGTTGGACTTGCTCATTAGCCTTTTTGTACCACCGCTGCCTACAGCTCTGCTGCCAGCATCAAGCTATACACTGCAAGGCTCTGTGCCTCACCAGTGCTCCCTACTGGTTGTGCAAGCTCCACTTAAGAGGGCGTCTAGACCAGGGAGAGATCAAAGCCAAATCCCAGTAAGGACAGACAGTTACTCACATGGTATAAGACTCCCAAGCACTGGCGCTTGCCAGTCTGGTTCTGCCTGTCATTTCACATTAAATGATGACACTCTAGTTCAATTCCAAGCAGCACCTGCAATAAACCACTCTGTAACAGGCAGTATCTCCTACATAAACAGGCTTAGCTAGGGAACATTTGTGCACAGGGTACATAAACTAGCAGCAGTCCTAGGACCGCACTCAGAACCTTGCCCCGCAGACACTAGCCCATTCAGAAAAATGGCAACGGTCATTCAATCTCATTGGCCATTGTTCAGCCTTCTCAAACCAACAGAAGACAACTAGCACAACAGGTATCATTGATATATTTCACTGCAGTTAGTGATCGAACATGGAAGAACAAGTGTTAACATATGCGACTGTGAACACAAGAGAAGATGCCATCCCCAGCAGAGCTAACACAGGAGAAATACAGCACTTCAGCAACTTTCAGATTTCATAGTGCGTCACCACTGGTGGCTCTTTATTAGGGTCTCCTCCTCTCTCCAGATACAGGTCATTGAAGGGATACTGCTTCGGTCCCTACAAGGAGAGAGAGAGGAGCAAATTCACCACCTTCACCAAGCAAATTGAGGGGTAAGGGGAAAATATCTCATCCTATCCCACCCCTGCCCAAATCAAGGCTTGTCATTTAT